TAGGATCAATGCATAATACCGTGAAGACTTTCTTTGTGATTTTTATCTCATCACTATTCAAATGCATTCCAAAATGAATATTTATTTTATGTAAAATTATGTATAAATCAAAGTTTTTAACTGAATCTGAGATTGTATAAATTTTTTTATGCAAAATAAGTANACACCAGAAGCGACCCACCCCCTCGAAACCGACACCCGATCCTAGGGAAGAATAATATACACTCCGTCCGGGGAATTCTTTCAGTTGACCTGAAGAAGAGTGAACAGAACGCTCGAAAACGTTTGTCAAGCGATATTTAACGTATACACATAGAGCACCGGTAACAGGTTCCGATAGTGTGACGTTATATTTAATTTAAATGTATCTGTCACGTTTTAAAAAATAATCTACAATTTCTTTTCCTAATTAATTTTACACTGTTTTAGCAAAATTTTCTTCTTTAATGCTTTAGTGCACTTTAATTCAAAAGGACATTATTTACTTAATTAATACAGCTTTAATTATAATTTTTTACTTATTTGTGGTAGAAAGGATATAATCTGTATGTTAACAATAAAGTAATTTCCTTTTTTTTAAACATTAATAGTTAGTATGCTTAACTTAAAAACACTTCACATATATTCAGTGGTATGCCATGACATTTGATGATATGGAAGCTGGTTTCTGTAAGAAGCCGACTTCCAGGGGCAATCAGTTAATTGCGTGTCAGTGATGGTTTAGGGTCCATTCGTATTTATTTATTTATTTGTTTGTTTGATAAGCCAGTAAAAACCGTAGACTTCTCTAAATGTATTTTTAATAGATTATCTGACGTACTTAATAAATAAACAAGTTCAATATAATTGTATAATTGTATGTGATGGGGATCCGTGTCGGGTTATCCCGTTGTGGGTCGGCGGCGGTCACTGCGGTTAGGTTGCGTTTCCGGTGCTGGTACTGTTCAATTAAGCGGTGCGTTATGTTCGGGAAGCCGTGTTCAGTTGCTATTTTTTTGATGTGGGCTAATTCATTCGTCAGGGCTTGCTTGGTGGATGAGTGTGAGAACACCCTCTCCACAAGAGCCCTAAATGCGGCTGCCTTGTATGGGAACGGGTCACAGGAATCAGCTGGTATGTACGTGGGGGTGGATGAGGGTGCCGCATGACCGCACACACCAGAAGCGACCCACCCCCTCGAAACCGACACCCGATCCTAGGGAAGAATAATATACACTCCGTCCGGGGAATTCTTTCAGTTGACCTGAAGAAGAGTGAACAGAACTCAATTGTTCAGTTTGGATATTCCAAATTGAAAACTTTTAACTGCACCAGAACCATTTAAGATTCATCGTAAATAAAAGGTTCTGGTTATAAGTTTTTTGGCAGTTTGGGTATTTAGTTGTAAGTCTTTAGTGAAGAAAAAATTATGTTTTTCACAATTAATCAACAGTTCATTGACCGTTCAGAAAAATTGCATATATTTTTTATTTTAACTGGTTAATAATAAAAAAAATTATCAATATTGTAAAAGAAATATTTGACTTAGCCAAATTTTCACATTAGGGAGTTAAGTAAATAAATACATTACAGTGTTCTAATTGCACATTCAAAGAAGAAAAATTTTTCTTAGTATGTTAATAGAATAATTACAACCAAAGATTGTGTTACTATCAAAATTTTCACCAAACATTCTTGTTGTAGAGGTGACAAATTTATACAGGATTTGAACAAATGAATAACCAAGTCTCCCCATTCTTTACAAATAGGAGAACACTGACATTTAAATATCTTAGTGTAACATTTATTACATAATAATTACAGATTATTATGGAACCTGTATATAATATCCAAGACTCTAAAAATCTTTTCATACATAATCTTCCTTTTGGTTAAATTTTACATTATTTTTTACATTCCACATATCTGTAATAACCTGTGGAATATTTCTTTGGTTCTCCTTTAACACTAATAAATTTTGGGAGGAAATAGAGCAACCAAAATCCTGCATAATCCAAAATATGTTTAATTTTTCCAGGCCACATTTCTTCCATTTTTGTTTTAAATATTTTTAACATTTTTTTTTGTAAATTTGAACATGACAATCATCTTTTGGAAAATAACTTGCCCCAAAACACTAGAACTTGTATAATCAATTGTAGCTGAAATAGAGCTTGTCCTAACTCATCCATCCAAATTATATGATCCAGAAATTGATTTATAATATCATAAGTGATTTCCAATTAATTTATCAAAATTCTGCATAGGCCCCATACTAATAGGTAAAGATATACTACTACACTCAGTAGCACAGACTTGAATAATCTCACATATGTTTTCACACAGTTTAACTTCATTTTACCATAGAGAGAGAAAACTGACATCTTGCCTTTAAAATTGACTTTAATCTTGACTTTCAAACAGCCTTGCNATACATACCTGGTACAAAATATTCTTCAATTGTATGAATATACTTTTAAAGAAAATTATAATTAAATATAGCTTTGTAAAGAAACATACATAAAAATATAAAATATTATTTACTTTTTAAATCTTAAAACAATGCACTTAGTCAAATAGTTCCCTACGAGTGGCTAATGGATGGAATCAGAGATGGTCCTGGTAGGTGCATGCAGCAGGCTGCCAAGTCCCGAGGGTACTGATACTGATCAATGTCAAATGCCTCTTTTGTCGCATCACTAGTATATCTCAAAGGATGTGATGGGGTTGTTGTAAATTTTAAACATTTCTTACTACAGCTGTAAAAATTCTACATTTGTTAAAACTTAATACTAAGTAGCTTGTCAGTTATTTGTTTTCTAACTAATTTGTTTTAGGACTAGGTGTCCACGGAAATTTTGAAAATTTACAACTTTTCAGTCACTCTCATTGAACTGGAAAAATTTGTCTTTATTACATCTAATATTACGAAGAAATCACTCTCCACTACTCGGCTAGAGATTGGTTCAGTTAAGCTTTTGTTTAAGTAAAATTCCGACTCTTTTAGTAGAGTTTTATTTATGTCCCTAATTCCCTAATCTCTTAATTATTTAACTAATTCTTAAGTAGAAATAAGTTGAAACTGGTTACTTTGTACTTGAATATTTGTAGTCTTGAGAAAGAAGTGGAAAGACAAATTTTTATGACAATGGATAAATAAATTGTAAATTTAAGGAAAATAAATTCTAGAGCATTTTTTGTACCTTGTGCATCTCATTCATTAAATTTGATTGTAGTTGTGAATGATGCTGCCAAGATAACAGTTAATTTTTTAACATTGTACAAGAATTGCACATGTTTTTTTGCATCCCCTTATAGATGGGACATACTAAATCCTAATATCACTAGTTTAACATTGAAATCTGTTAGCTTTTACAAGATGGGAGAGCAGAATAAATACAGTAGTACCTCAGGATACAAAATTAATCCATTCCAAAACTGAGATCGTATCATGAAAATGTTGTCAGGTGAATCATTTTTTCCCATATGATTACATGTAAAACCAAATAATCTGTTCCAACACAAAAAACACACTCAAATTAAAGCTACTTAGCTTTAATTCGAGTGTGTTTTTTGTGTTGGTGCTTGAAAAAAAAACTTTAGTAAGGAAAACACTGAAAAATGCATTTTGTAGTTGTAAATGTATAAATAACCATAATAGAATAATAATTGATAAAAAAAATGTACTTTTATTTGCACTTTACCTTTGAGGATAGACGACGGTGGAGGTGTAAACTGGTGGCCGAGGAGAGGGAGAAGGGAAATGATATTAAAACTTAACTTACATAACATAATGTAACAATAACTTAAAAATAACTTAACACTAATTTTTTAACTTTTCTGTTTTATATATTTTTTAAATTTTTTATTCATTGCTTTTTGCTTTCTTTCCTTCACTTCCACCAGCACTTTCACTGGATAGAGGTCGCTTGGTAAAATATCTATCCAAAGAGTTTTGGCTTTGTTTACTTTTTAAAATAGGCAAATGTCATTACTCTGAGCAGCAATACAGCCAGTGTGAACCTTTTTGGGATGTTTCTTTTCAATAAAATCAGTCACTTTCTGATAATACCTCAAGATTTTCTTTATTGAGCAAGATTCTTCCACAACAAAGCAAACACACGGACTGAGACCAATGAACAGAAGTGAATAAAAAATGGCACTGCGAACTAATGTAATGTTGTATGGTGAGTTTTTGTTCCCACTGTGGAGCTAAAATATGTTTGAATTTCATGTCGTATCCTGAAAATTTCGTATGCTGGAGCGTTCATATCCTAAGGTACTACTGTATATCAAATATTTTAATGGATTTTTTTAAACTCCTCTCAACTATACAGAACTATCATAAAAACATACCAGTAAACTCCTATCGGTTGGGTTAAGTTATAAATCTACTCACAAATCACATAATGGAGTGAGGTCGGCCAAATATCTAGCAAGCAGGCAGCTAACAGCCCAGAACCGGTCTTGGATAGAATCATTGGAAGCGTTACACAATATTTTGGTGTGTAGCATACACCAGCTACTTTCACTGCGTGAAGTTGGTACTCTCTAAAGCACATGTGTATAATATGGCTGCTTTACACCATTCAGATATCAATATTTTCGCTGGGGAAGCTGTCTCATATTTGACAATATAGCACATCCATTCCGCCACTGATATTTGAATATACAATAGCAATCTTATCGTTTTTTTTTTCACATGTAATATAGAAATTTGTAATAAGATACATAATGCAGTTATAATAAAATATTAATTTTAATTAATTCAAAGTACATTAAAATATGAAAATAATAACACAATATGAATTTATATTTTAGAAAATACAAGGGAAGCAGCGCTTCCACCACTTCCAAGGATGACATGCCACTGCATATATTTATTAAATATCCTTTTAGCAAAAGAAATACATATTACATATTCTATGTATAGAATATATAATCTTATAATGTGAACCTTATGCATGTGCATGCTCAATTATCCAAATCATTTAATTTTTCTACTTTTGATTTAATTACAGGCGTAGCTCCTCCATCTTTTCTTGCCATCAAAGCCGGGACGACGCTACACCAGTTGACGTCATCTACGGATGCCATTTCCTGGTTTTCTATAGCAGTATTAGGAATTTTTGCACTTGTCTCTTTATTACCAGTTATGTTTAATAAGAAGTTACAATCTAAATTGGAATGATGTAATATCTTAATTATGTTGTTATTGATGAGGATATAAATTACAGATAAGTAAAAATAATTTTCTGATAATATATGAAAGTTTTGATATAAGAAAGAACTATTTTGTTAGATGTTTCTTAGGAAAAAAACTCTGATATTAAATTCAATTATAAATTCTCTGTTCTAAATACCTATGTCTAGATGTACGGCAGAACTCGGGTTTAGCAGATATTCTTGGACTGGAGACTTCATCTGCTTAAAAATTTGGCATTGCATTTCCCAGCTGGGGTTATGCAGAAATAAATCTGTAATGACTGCCAAATGTGATTCTGAATTAGTATTTATATCTAGGTGATACAAATTTTTCATGCCTGTCTTTAAAAGCCATTGACTTTAACCTTTTTATACATTTCTGAAGACTTGTGTTGTTGTTTTAATTTAATTCTGTTGTAAAGTTGTAATTGATAAAGTTAATGTCATAATACTGATGTATATAAAATCACTTTAATCTGAATCAGTTGATTTTATATACATCAGTATTATACAGCAACCATAATATGTAGTAATGCCATAATAGTTAAAAATTGACAACAACGGAGCAATTATTCACAGTAATGATTTAAAAATTATGGAAAATGAGAAATTTCAATAAAAGTAAATGAAATTTCTCATTTTCACAAAAGGAATACATGCTCTGGAAAAGGTTGGGAACTGCAGTTTTAAATAATATTGCTATATGTTTTTATTTTGTGAAAGAATATGTGATAAGAATGATATCAAAGAATCACCAAAGTTAAAGATCTGTTTTATGCCAATTAATTAATACAATTTTAGCACTAGACATATTAAGTGCCATTTTGTATCAAAAGAAACAAATAAGTAACTCAAAGAATCTAAAGGAAAAGATCTGGCCCGGCATAGGATCAAAAACTGCAACTGCTGCTGCTAATTTTGACATTTAGGCTTCTTGAGCAGATAACAATACCAAAATAGAAAATTAGGCTTGTTTGATTCATTCAGAGTTTCCCAAATGCCTCTCTTCTGCTATGCAAGGAAGAAATGAGATATATATATAAAAAACGTAGTTGTTTATATATATATATATATATATAATGTAGTGTGTATATATATATATATATATATATACACTACGTTTTTTGTCATGTCTAAAAATCTAATTTTACACTAAATATTCTGGCAAGAAGAAACTAAATTATTAAGTAGGATAGGATTAGAGAGAGATTATATTAATTGACTGACATCTGATGCAAAGTGTGGAAGTGCCACCTAAAAGTAGAACAATGAAAACTTCAATAAGTTTAAGACAAAAGTAATTCCACAAAATACACATGATATTTGTGGAAACAGATAACTCATTTACTCTGCTTAGCAAATGTATTGGAGGCTAAGAGATTTGTCTACTTGATAGTCCGGTTACCAGTGTCTGCCACCCCGGGTTTTGTTGTATATGTAAAGAAACTTATCGTAAATGCCTCTTTCCAGGAATTATGACAAAACATTTTTATTGACCAATATTGCCTTTGACAAATTTGATCTCTTAGTAACCAAAGTATCGTTATTTAGAAATTGTTGATACTTTTATAAGTTATATAAAAGAGAGTAATTAATACTTTTTTCTATTTAAACTAATTAATAACTATTACAGATAATGATTTAATTACAAAGACAGTAGAGAGACACTTTTCCAGCAACTAAATTTTATGAAAACAAATGTTTTTGGCTTGCTGGATAAGCCTTTGTCAGGCTACAGAACAAAATTTAAACAGAGATTCTGTTTTTGGAATGAAATATTCTTTGACACAATTATATCTTTGATGCAATTACATCTTATAATTTTTGTTTCTAAAGAATATTTTATTCCAAAATAGAATATGTTTAAATTTCATTCTGTAACTTGAAGGATAATCAGGTAGGCCAAAAACATTTGTTAGGTATGTCTTCTTATATTGGAGAATTTCCACCTTAGAGTATTGTTGATTTAATTATGACATTACTCCAAATAAACTATATTGTATCAAATTTAATTATACAGTAGAGCGTCGTTTATCTGAATCAATTGGGAACTGGGGTTGTTTGGATAACTAATTTTTCGGATAACCAGTTGTGTACGGAAAAATATATTAATTTATCCCGTGTTGAAATTTTTCTCCATTGCGTGTTGCTTAGCGTTGAATTTTCGTCGATGTTAAGCCTAACGAAGACTATTGTATCGTTAAAAATTATTTTTTTATTTTGTACAAACAAAATAAATATATTGAAAAATATAAAAACAATAAAAAATTATACTTAAGAAGTTAATTTAGTATCAAAAACGTAAAATATTTGAGTAGCCAAAGACATAGCCAAAGATTACAGCACCACAGCACTGGCGAAAATTTAAATTTGATTGGAATTGTTTCGAATAACCGACGTTTCGGATAAACGACTCTCTACTGTATTAAAGTTCACGTGTATTAAGAATATCACATGGGGAATAATATATTATGGATAATTTTATTCAGAATTTTTCCGAAATTAATTGTTGTAGCATTCTTCACGTATGGAAATGAAATTTCACTCCCGTTACATACTTTGTTTGAAGCTGTTTGATTCATAAGTTAAGCCATATGGAGATTTAAACTTTAGTTTTCAAAAAAAAATTCTCAATTATTACAAAATATTTTAAGTACAAATACACAGAAAATTCTTTGACCGAATACTTATCACGAACATTGGGAAACATCTAATAAAACTTGCACGCATTCCAATAATTTTCACTTTTTGTTTTTTTATAATAGGATCAATGCATAATACCGTGAAGACTTTCTTTGTGATTTTTATCTCATCACTATTCAAATGCATTCCAAAATGAATATTTATTTTATGTAAAATTATGTATAAATCAAAGTTTTTAACTGAATCTGAGATTGTATAAATTTTTTTATGCAAAATAAGTAAATAGATCTGTTCCAGAAATTTTGTTGGGACCAATAAATAGATTATGTTAAAATTCAAATTTTAGTCATACAATTTAAACTTACATGTGTATTTTAGTACAAATTTTCTGAAATATCCAGATTATTTCTATTAAATTAAGAATAACATATTGCCTCTTTTGTACACAAGTCAATGTATATTACGACAGGCACTCAGCGTATTTAAATATCTTACCTGTATTATTATTATTATTATTATTTGTAAATTTTTTTTTGTTCTTTAATGTTAACTTGTTATATTGTTGTTAATATGGGAGAACTGTAGATTTTATATTGCAATGTTGTAATTTAAAAATGCATTTAATTGATGAAATATATATTTAATAAATACCAACAAAGTGTTGAAAATTTTATAAAAAAAACCTCTGAAATTTAACCGAGTTGAATCCGGAACATTTTGTTTAAATTAACTGTTAAGGTCTATGCGTAATAACGATGATATTCGTAATTATGATAATTTACTAAATTTGTGTATTGATGATATTTAGTAAATTTACTAAATATCATCAATACACAAATTGCACTACATCACATGTGCGATGCAGTGGGAAATCAATTGTAAGAAACTTGCATCGCATATGCAAAGTCTAATTGACTGCCTTCGACCGACAACCATTACATAATATTCACATATATGTGAATTATTTTCCTTATATGTTTTTATACTATACGATTTAGAATGAGCTCAAAGTATTGCATTTTTAATGTTAAAGGCTAATTTTAATAAATTTGTAACAACTACTTAGAGTGGTGTCCTCAAGATAATGCTGTTCGATACACTGAAATTATCACAAATTTGAAATGGTGGAAATTGAAGTTGCGATTTTTCATGGAAACAACAGAGAAACAAGTTTTGTCCAAACTTTAGAGCTTTGCACAGATGGAAAATCGAGCCGTCATTTGATCAATTACCTCGCTGGTAAAATAGCAATGTGTAGTCTCAAAACTTTTCAGACAAATAGTTTGTATGTTTTGTTTCAGTCGAAAGATATCTGAAAGAAACCAATTTTCTCTAAACATTTCCCAAAATGGGGGAAAATGTATAGAATCTCAGGGTAATTATTTTGAAAAATTTTCAATAAATCCTTTAAATCCCAACATGTTCCCAAACTTTTTCAATGCTTCTTTCCATGTTAAAAAATAAATATTATTAAATGTGCATGCTAAATTATACTATTCTGCTTTTTTTTTTTTAACTTTTACTTTAAAAAGCATTTGGTAGACGGTACGCATCCCACCAAACTCATGATGCAGATTAGAAATGTAACCATTCCTGAGATGTTCACGTCACAAAAAAGAGACAATCTTGCCAAATCTTCATCTCGATATTTATGGACATCTCGCACATTGTCCTCTCATTTCCACCTATGCTCGGCCTCATCCTCTTTGGAGAAACTAACTCTCAAAAATCAAGAGCTTTGTCGGATTACGTCTCGAGACAGTCAAATTTTCCACATACATTTACTAAAATTTTTTACTCTGCACAGTGCCTACTGTCTACCACAAATCACATATGCTTTTGAGCACCCCATGTGTAATATAACCATTCCTGAGATGTTCACGTCAGAAAAAAGGTTCAAATTTACCTTCGTAAATTCCATGTTAACAAGTGAATGTGAATCGAACATGTCATTGAGACAAAATTACATTTTTTTTCAAAAGTAAGGTAACTTTTGAGTTATTTTAAGGTTTTTCTGGGTTTATTTCATTCTTTGCATTTTATGTATAAAGGCAAATGAAATTGAGAACAGAGTATTTTAATGAATTAAAAATTTTGTTAAAAATATTGCAGTTTCTTGATTTTTAAAAAACTTCATAATTTCAACATAAAATTGAAAATGAAAATTTAGTTTTAAAATTTTGGTATCCAAGAAAGAAGAAAAATGTAGATGGTAAGGTCTTCAAATTTTTAAATATAGTAAATCTCCAAAAGATAACCAAAAATACAAAGCAATGAATGTACAGTATCTGTAGACTGTGTAGAGCACCAATTATCTAAACTTTAACATGGCAATTTTTTGATGATAAAATAAATTATTAGATGATATTAAATTTATAGAAGAGTTTTAACTTCTACGATAATTTTAATTCTTTTCTTTGTTATAAATAGTTTCTATATAGCATTTACATGAACACCTCATTCATGTAAATGCTATATAGTAAAGCCCATAACTGTGGTATAGGCTTTGCTTTCTGCTCGTTGCAGCAGAACTCATCTGCAACAAGTTTGACTAACATTAATGAAGGATTTGAGGATGACGACTGATTCCAAAGCTTTTGAGATAAATTACAACTGTCGGAGGGATGTGGAAATGGTATGTGACATCTTAATTATAATTGTCTATTTCAGATAGCAAAATATAAAATATTATAAATGATGCATTGCTTATTTTTATTGTTTTTAAAAGTTAATAAAATGCCAAACAAAAGAAAAAAAAATAAATTATTTTAATATTTGAAAAGAGAATATAGAAATTGTGAAAAGAAAGTTTTATAAATATTGGATGTTTAACAGAAAAGTACCATTTGGAAGAATCATCACACAAGTATTTATGTTACTTAAAGAGCAAAAGCATCTGTATTTTCAGGAGGAGAAGTGGCTACAGTCTTTCCATTCAGCCAATGAATAAAAAAGATTTTTTCCGTAGTGGCGGCAGTCACACAGGGGAAATAACTGTTGAACGAAATATCGATGGCAATAACAGAAGCTTCACTGAGATCAGCATGCCAAGAAGGTTCCGAGAGGTTGAGATCCTTTGCTTCTTCCGGGTGATTGACGTTATACAAATAGAGAGAACCACTCTCACTTCCCAATGCCAAAATGTTTCCAAATAGTGCAATACAAGTTATTTGACTATGAAGTTTCATCATGGCTTGAAAATAATGCTTTGAACTTCCAACAGGAATAATCATTTGTTTATCTGCTAAAGAAAAACAAACAAAAATACTGTTATAACTTTTTGCAATTTTAACACTAAATGATGGAAATTTAATTATTATTTATATGTAAAGAATTTTGAATCATATTTGAAGCAAATGAAGAACATTGATTTTTTTTTAGGATAAATTTAGCAAAATGATTATTTTTACTTAAACTTAAAAATTGTTGTAGATTTTTATCTGTTAATTTGTTTTTTTGTGGAAAAATTATTTAAATTTTCAAAATGGATATTCACACAAAATTTGCTATGTTAAATACTACAGAAATTTTATTATTACTGTATTTACTTGCATTAAAAATGAGGTGGTGGTTCATTTTTCATTGCTTCAAAAACCTAGGTCATCCTATACATATGAGCAAAGGATTCTTTGTGTTTTTGCAATAATTTTTGTATAATCAGATAATAAAGTACTTACTGGTACTTATTGTCAAATGCAAGTATTAGTACATGAGAACTGTTGTACATTTTCTAAATTTTAATTTAATGTTTTTAATTCTTCATTTGTCTGAATATCAATTGTATTGATACTTTTCTTACATTTATTATTATATTAATGTAAATTGTTTTATCCTACAGTATATTTATTAATTAAGACAATTATTAATATAAACTAGATAAGGTTGGATAAACAACGAGCTTATGATTGACTGGTTAAAAACAGTATGGCTCCATTGACCAGAAGCATTACTAAAACTATCATCAATTTTAGTGATGGATGCATTCAAGGGATACCTCACAGATGACGTTAAATATTTTCTAGGGAAAACGAGCACTCTCGTAATGATTTCTGGGGCAATGACTTCACAATTACAGCCCTTGGATGTGTGCATCAACAAGCCATTTAAAGATTGTGTGAGGAAACTGTACACTGACTGGCTTACCTCCGAAAGTCGTGAAGTGGCCGCATCAAATGGGCTAAAGCTTTACAGATAGCAATCTGTGAAGCTTTAGCCCATGTGGGGTATCAGTTGCATGGAAGAGCATTCCTCACAAATGATAGCAAAATCATTCAGGAAATGCTGCATTTCAAATTCACTGAATGGATCAGCAGATGATGCTTTGTGGAGTGAGAGTGAAAAAGAGGAGAGTTCTAACAAAGCTTTGGAGGGTGAATCTGAGTAGACAAAAAGTGATAGTGTTATGGTTGTTTGCCTTAATACAAACATTTGAAATTTTTTTGTGAATAAATGAAATAAAATTAGAATTGTATCAATAAATCTAATTTTCTTTATTTTGATCTTTAAAGTCACACTGTGTCCTATATGCGAGTAAATACACGGTATATTGTAAACACATGATAAAAAGTTTCATTTAGGTCCAATGAAAAAGTTAATAAGCAGTTCACAAACATTTTTGAATTCCACATAAATCCTGCTTCAAGCTAAAAGAGTTTTACAAATGGAATTCTTTCTGAAAGAACACACATGAAACTCAAAATTTAAATAGATCAAAAATCTGTGGAATGTTCCTATATAACTGTAGTTATAATGATAGATTATAAAGTGCTTGCCATACCTTTGATATTTGCATCTCATCTCTGTTGTTGATTCAAATACTGTTAAGACTTGATTTAAATATTTTCAGAGATTCTAAGATCCTAATTTGATCATATTGTGGGATTGATCTAATGAGCCACACTTGTTGTAATTTAACTTCTGTGTTGTTTTTAGAGGAATAAACTGACAGGACAATGGAGCATTTCAAATGGTCAATATTGTATTTGTTTTTTTTTGTTGATTTTTCTGTCTGATGGCGAGATTATTATTAATCATCGAAGACAAGTCTGTCCAAAAGGAACCACCATTTATTTTGTATTCCAGACTTTACACATACACATCCATGGTGACAGGCCTTCCTTTTTAGGCTTCATGCCTCCAGAGGTAAAAAAAAGGCCATTTAAAAAAAACACAAACATCCAATTAAAAGGAATTGGTGACACACAGATGTCTTACTCTTCATCCATTTGGCCAACTTCAAAAAATCTACGTATTCCAGCACCTGTTTTAGTAGATATAAAGCAGAACCACCCTATTGGCCAGATCAGCGAAATCTGAGGCAATTATTTCCATAAGAATCAATGTGACCAATTAATTTGTTCTAGACCCTCCAAAATACATTAAAAAAAACACATTTTATAGAGAACAAGTACTGTTTAATACTAAAAACAACAAGAAATGAATATAAAAGATTAATATGATGTTTTCTGAAACAGAATTGCCATCTAACTGTTTTTTATTTATCCAAATTAATAATGACTGTTCGACATCTTCAATTGTTTGCAATCTGTTTCATTGGCACATTCACATTCACATCTTTCTCTACATTAGCCTTCTTTATTGCTTTCTTTTTTCCCGCAATGAAACTTATTGTGGATGGTGACTTCCTGTACATGCAGCTGATTTCAGCAATCTTAATTTAACTGCTCTAGTCATTTTCAATGATTTCCTTTAATTCAATCATGTTCCTGGCTTTCTTCTTTGAAGGACTGCTGGCTCTGGAAATTTTCTTTGGTTCCATGATGGAGCTAAAAGGAAAGGAAAGCAATGGAATTGTTTGGCTAGCTCACACAACAAGAATGACACACTGAGCAAGGGAACGTGTGAGTTGCCCTTTGTTTTCACAAAGTCATTAGCAGTGAGGTCACATGGGCATGCTGACAAAAACTGACACACATTATTTGTGGAAAAATCGACGAAACCCGAAACCAACAATAACTGAAGTCAACAAAAACCGAGGTATTTGTTGACCCTGGTAGTCTTTCCCGATCCTGCAAATTGCAAATATGAGGATTCCGTTTGTATGTCATTCTAAAATTTAGATAAGAGATGAATGCCTAATGTCTACCTCTATTACCAAATTACTTAATATCTAGTTATTATTAATAGCAGAATAATAGCCCAATTAATTATGGCAGTAGTTTGGTTTAGTATTAATACATTGGGCTTCAGGCTGTTTATTATATATATATATATATATTGTGAGCCAATGAATCATTACCACAATTTTAAAATTTTCACCGTTGATAATATTACTGTCCTTACCTTCTACTAATATTTTGCCTTTATTCAAAAGACATGGGTCATCATAGACATACCAAAGTGTACAATATCTTTTAAATCTATGATTTTATTAAATGCAGTAACAAAAACTTGTATAATGTAAGATCCATTTACTTCAACCAATGAAAAGAGTAGCATTTTTTTCCAGTTGATAATGTCAGAAAGTCTAACAAACTCAAACTTTCTTAATGAGAAAAAGTACTTCTGTTAATACAATTTGAACTAGCCTCTTCAACCATATAGTCCAAACAACAAGCTTGGAAAGTAATTATTACACATCTGCACTCCACAGTAAGTACAGTACATTAAACCAGTTTCTCCATTTCCCACTCACATTTTCAATTAGATTTGTATCAGAGCATATAAATGTAGTAACTTAAAATAGGTTCTGTTTTTCTTAAACTGTTTGCAGTCAAGGATATTTGATTATTAAGTGTAGGATTAATTTCACATAAACTTTACTCAATCTTTAAATATGCTTAAAATTAGCTGTTTTGTTTCCTTTCCTTGTCATTCTAGATGAATGTAAATTTAATTAATAAAAATAAATGAAAACACCAGTAATTAATTTAAAAATATTTTACTGCCAGAACTTAATTCACTAAAAACATATTTTTGAGCACTTTTCCAGACAAAATGTTTTTCACTTTATAAGCATGTGTTAGGTCCGTCACAAATTCCAAATTGGAATGTTAACCTGTGCAATGATATTCCAAATAAAAGTTTGGAATTTGTGACAGACAGAGGCAGGCTTTTGAAGTAAGCTGAAAATGTTTGTTGATTGAGCACTTTTCTGACAGATTTTTCTAAGTGTATTTTTAGTGACTTACACTTGTAAACTGTTTCTTACATAGAGTAAGAATTACAACTTTGTTTATTTTAAATGATTATAATCTTTCTTGCTGTGATTTTTTTTATTATAATTAATATTACAATCTCAATTATAATCAAGTTTATTTATTTAAAATATTTCAATAAAGCAAGACACTCCCATTTTTAAAAAACAAATAAGTTTTTCTGGTTAAAATTATCTATACAATCTGTGTTTGAGTAATCTAGTTATAGAAAAATGCATTTCAAATGTTCCTCCAAGATTATTAGAATAGTCCTCTTCAGTTTTCTGACATATTAAAATTTTTAACATCATTAATTAAACACACACATTTAAAATCAAAAATCCCTTCAGGGGAAAGTGGTGCAAGATGGGGCCATGGGTTAAGACGAGGACGTCTGTTTATTTGTAGTTAACGTGCTTTCATCTAGCTGTTATTTGGGGGAAGTAAATTTCAACCTCAAAAGGGATCATGGGATGAGAGAATGTCTGAATCGCTCTCTCTGTTTGGAAGTAAGACACATTTTCCATGTTTCATCAATACTTCATCTAATTTTACGCCTGCTACAAAGTTTCTACAAAGTAAGTATCATTGTGAACTTTTACATTACATTTTAGATGAATATATTATGGTATTTGAAGTAACCTTTAAGACTGTAATTGTTTAGTTTTGAAAAAAAGTTGACCTGTGTTTGCAGTCAGTATGAAAAGTGCACTTTGCTCTGAAAATACTTCTGGATTCGTTGGTCATATTCATTGACAACCTGGGGCAAGACAAGGTACCCCATCTTGCCCCAGGTTGTCCACAAATATGGCCAACAAATCCAGAAATATTTTCAGAGGCAGACGTTATTGCTGCAGAGACGACAAACAGGCCCTGTCAGCATCAGGACACATAAGATGCTTGTTTTGGGACAACCAAAACCGTGAAGGCGGAGATATGCCTAATCTAGGTGCAGAAGCAGTCACTGATTACACCACTACAAGTAAGCCTACTCATTCAGTTTTTACTCAAGTCTCTCTCATAGAAATAATGCCAATTCCACATGTTGGAACCAAGAAAAAAAATCGAAAATAGCAGGAAGAGAGGGAAAATAGCAATCCTAACAGATACACCATACAAGCAGCAGCTGATGGAACAACAAAAACAATCAACAGCAGTTTTGGCACCCCAGGAAAATGGCCTTTCTTTACCGAAAAAAATTCTGTAAAATCAAAAGTTACAGGCATCGGCAAGGGTAGGCCTAACAAGAAACAAAACACAAATGACATAGAATGTGGAGGGTTATACTCTGCATCTACAGAGAGTTGGACTAAATGTAGCTGTTGTGATAAATGGGTACACAGTTCTTGTGCCAATATTGAAGAAAATGTCAGTTTAACCATTTTAATTTCGCCTCCTTGTATATAAAAATAATATCCCCATCTTATCCCACAGGTGGGGCAAGATGGTGCATTTACGTATTATTTTAAAATATTAAATTTTCTTGTTTTTAAAAATGTTTTTCAAAAATTAAATTTATTATTATATATTATCAAATGTTGTAGTTGCCGAAAATAAAAAGATTATTGTTCTCATCAAAGTAATTGCCATCTTGTGACTTTTCAAACCTTAAAGTCATCATCTTGCCCCACCTTCCCCTACTGTTGAAAGTTTGTACAAAGGTATATAAGCTACAATCAACAATCACTTGAGAATCACATCACTTCTTCATTCTATTATTAAATATTCCTGCCAGATAGTGCTAACATCAAAAAAAATAACTTAAATTAAAATATAATGTGTAGGTATATGTATATATTAGCAATATGATTGAACTGCATGCATATGTCAGGTTTCAGGTGAGGTCCGAAATTGCGTTGATTATATAAAAATTCCTGAGATGAAAAAAAAACAAAAGTTATATAAGGGAGAGAGAGAAAAACAACTGTAGTAGTCAAAACAAATGTGAAATGGAGATAAACGAGGAATCTTGGGGACTCGCACGTGACAGATCATAAGTAAATGTTGACCTGGAGAGATGGAACTTTGACAGACACTCTTATACAATCAACCTAAATTAGAAAAAGGGGGAGGGTTGACGGTCAAAGGACATCACGCTAGATTGTGGGAATTCTAAAACGTCAGAGAAGAGGCAATAATGGAATTATGAAACCTGTGTTCATATTTTACCCTATCAACATCTGGTCAGAGTTGAAGAATGGTATCAAATAAACTCTTTGAGACTGACCTTTCTCATGACCCGAACTTATCTTGGTTTACACCAATCGGGAAGCAAGACAAGAGAACTAGAACCAATCAAAAGATTAGATTCGAGAGAGAAAATTATAAAAACTCCGAATCTCAAGGTTGAATCAGAGATTTTTGCCCATTGTTACACGCAATGAATCTGTGTTGTCACCCGACTTCATCAAGTACAAGCACGCATCAAGACCAATCATCTCATCGATATCTTCTGCCATCACATACCCTCAGTGCAAGAATTAACAGATGTGCTGGATCTTTTAACACCTGTAAACTGTCAAACTATTGAACAACAAACAACTTCACATACTTGTAAGCAATTTCTACCATAATAAATGGTTTTTGTTGTAAGGACATGTTATCTCTGTCTCCAGCACCACTACCCACATACGAACCACCCCTCCTCCGACGACCCAGTCCTCCTCCACCTACGAAGCTCTTCCTGATGCGGGATTAACTGATTTTTCCCCTAAAAGTCAGCAAGCTTACACATACTAGTAATCTACATATTTTAATAATATAATTTGAATTAGATAATAGTTTTTCCAAAAAATCTAACAAAAACTGTATTGCACATAAAAATAATTTGATTCAGTTTTATTTTCACATTCCTTATTTACATAAAACAATATCATTGGCTAAACTATATTGTTTGTACATGCACATGATATCAGAAAACATGAAATGATTTAAAACATCTTTAGCTTTAAAAAATTACAAATGTTGTGTTTATAAATTTCCAGAAAAATGAATGAATTCTTTGACTTTACATTAAACATGAGTTTTCCCTGACAAAATTTTGATGTTTTCCAGGGGCAGGAGAACCCTGTTATTACTTTTGAATCTTTTTGAGACAAAGTCACATTCAGTCAAGAAAGGGATCCTTTTGCAATGTTTTTAGCTATTTAATATAAGAAAATTTAGTTACATCAAGAACTTTTAAAATTAGCAATATCTCACTTTAATCACCAAATGTAACATTTTCAACCATCTTTAATGGTCTTCAGGCTGTTGTAAGATGCAAACAGGGCTGTGGAGTCGCGTAAAAATCTACCGACTCTGACTTTTCCTTATCATCCGACTCTGACCAGGGGCAGACTTGTTACCGAAAGAAACCCAGAAATTCTGATGTCATCATGTGACCTCAGAATAAAAGATTCAATAAATAGAGTTCTAATAAAGATGGAGTGTAGAAACTTTTTATTCCAAAGCTAAAAGACTTCTCTAAGTAATATATAAATATGTATTCGATAATTTTTACTTTTACGGCTGTTATATATAACAGAGGAAAAGTATAGCGCTCGCTCAAAAAATGACCCCTCCCAAATTTTTACATTTTTGGACTCAGGACACCTTGAAATTTCGAGATATGCAAAAGATTCGAGTTTTTTATACATGTGTGGATGTTAGACTGTGGGGGGGGGGCATGATTTTGTTCACCCAGTTTGAAGCCTAATAATTTCTGTGGTCAGAGTGGTCATAATTGGAGTCAGATGGTTTAACACAGAAGTTAGTTATTAAGCGTCAAAGTGGTTGAACTAAATCGTGTCCCCATATAATTATGTTCTAACATCTTAGGTGAGAACATCTTAATGGGTTTTACTGTACTATTATAAAATGACAAAAAAAAGCTTACTTTGAGGGTACAGATGAGTTGTTTTTTATTTTTTTCGAGTAAAATTTTCATTAAGAGACATGACACATGATCCTTTTATGTCTTCAACCTGTTGACCTTTAATTAAGAACCAAAATTTAATAGTATTACTGCCCCTTTATATGCAAGCTACAGTGCCACATTTCGTTTCTTAAACTTTACCCATTCTGAGATATTGTTTAATATCTCAGAACAGAAAATAAAGAAATTAAACAAATTAGATGCCCATGCGCATGCGCAAATTTTTCCCCTTTACTGACTTTTTTGAGGGGTTTGGGAGGTCTCCAAACATGCAGATTTGCAAAAAAAAAAAAACTTGGAGGGTCAAATTTGACACGATTAATCAAAAAATCTTACTGGAACTAAATCAAATAAATAATATAAGTAAACAACGCCTTTTTTTTTAACAGTCCAGCAAAAACATTTAATTCTCTAAAATCGGTCGAAAACATTATTAGAGAATTAAATGTTTTTGCTAGACTGTTAAAAAAAAGGCGTTGTTTACTTATATTATTTATTTGACACGATTCCAATACGTTTCTGTTTTATATACATAACAAGTTGGTAAGTAAAAAGGATTCGGAGTCGGCAGATTTTTTGATGACTCCGACTCCGGCTAAAACACCAAAACTCCACGACTCCGACTCCACAGCCCTGGTTTTGTTTTAAAAGTTTTAAATAAAATGGAATTCATAACAGAACACTGAATTCTCAAGCACGATTCAAATTAAGAATGTTAAGTGCATCGGTTAAAGTTTAAACAGTCGAGCTAAATTACATAATTAAACATTTTAAAGAAAAATGCTAATACATACAAAAATATTTTATTTACAATGTCACAAATTCCCCATAGCCTTAACAAATCACCCACAGACTCCCACATATTATGGAGATTTCACACTACAATCTTTGTATTTGTAAGATATTACCACAGTCCTTGTAATTTATACAAATCAGCAATTAGTGGAAAAATCTATATCTCAATGCCACTAATAACATTACTTCTTTGCCAGCTCTGTAAATGACTTGTCTCTGGCTGTTGGGCACAACTGGTCATTTACCAACCAGTACACTTCAAAGAAAGATGCATATCTCCTTATGGAAGTGCCAGACACCCGGATTTCTTGTCAAAAACCATTTCTATCAGCAAGACCTACAATTTCTGAGTTGTCGGAGAGGTCTCAAAACACCGTACAAGAAGAAACCTTTTATGTTGGAAAAGAGGAGGAAAAATAATATGTTGGAAAAGAGGAGGAATGATTTTGATGATTAGAATAATTTCCTTAACAGTTTTATAAAATGACACTTACATAATGATTTGGTTCATTTTTCAAGATATTGGACTTGTGGTATTTTATCATTTAGTTAAAAAAATATTAAGTATAAATAGTTCATTAAAAATGGCCAATGATAATTTACACAGTAAAAATATCAAAGAATTAAATAAAAGTTTTTTGTCTTCATAATCTGTCTTTTCAGTGCTCCATTGGCAATCAAAGTACACAAAAGTTCACTTACAAGATGACCTTTTATTTGAGGCTACATCTCTGCAAAAACACATGTAGATTGGTTAAAAAATATCCTCTGGTAATGAATACCATAAAAGACAGATTATGAAGACAAAAATTTTTATTTGTATTCTTTGATATTTTACTATGTAAATTACCATCGGCCATTTTTAACAAACTACTCATTTTAAGTCATGGTATTCATCACCAGAGGACATTTTAAACAACTTACATGTGTTTTTACAGAGGCATAGCCTCAAATAAAAGGTCGTCTGGAAGTGAACTTTTACATATTTTGAATCCTCAATGATGACTGTGAAAACAGATTATGAAGGGAAAAATTTTCATTAAGTATAAATTTTTAAGAATATAAATGTACCTGTCAGGATTGTCACCTGTGGACATTTTAGACTATTTTACATATTTGTGCAGAGCTGAAGCCTACAAAGAAAGGTCATCTCTGCAGTGAAGAATGGTTGTTCCAGGTGATTGGACATGGCAAGCAAGCAAGATACGACTAGTATTTGTAATGAAATTTTACTTTATTAAATTGTAATTTCTGCCAGCCCTTTTTTACAAGAATATAAATGTAATCAATATTTTTACTATTATGTAAACTAAAGGAAAAATTTGACATGAAGTAACATATATCAGTTGAACAAAAATTACTGATTCTCAATCATAATAATGCAATTTGAATTGAGTTTTCCCAGCAACATTATTATTTTACAACATTTGTTTTTTATTCTTTTATTTAACTAATATGAAATGATATAGAAGAAATATAGAATTGTCTACTCTTCTGATATTTCTAAACAGACATCTCTCAAGCTGATCCTGATTTGAATTATTTGAAACACCAATTAAAATACAGAAATTCAAATGAAAATCAGCTTTAATTAGCAAATTAGAAATTGACAAAAAAATGAACTAAACAGATTTTTGTTGAGAATTATTAGAAAAATAGAGATGAAGCATGACTCTTTATAACAGTACTATTGCAATGATATATTACTTAACTTTAATCATTATTAAATATAATTCTTGAGATTTTAATTCTCTAAAAAAATCTCTTCATTGAATTTGATAATGCAATATACCATATTTCTTCTAATAAACAGTATGCCATCTATAACTTTTTTCAACTTACAACAACACTGTTATTTACACAGTGCTTACTATTATGATAAATAAAAGGTTATTGTAATATAATGGTAGAATTTAAAAATTTTAATTCTCTTGTTTCTTCAAAAAATATATTTAATAAAGAAATTACTATATAATAAATTGAAATTTTTAACAACAAAAATAATACTTACTACAAAATATGAAAACCATGCCTCTTCTAAATAATATTGAATTACTTATGCATCGATTAAGATCACAGATATTAAATGAATAATTATAAAAAGTTTTCAGTTCAGAAGGCATCCATTCATTTTTGTCAAGTGAAAATACTTCAAACATTCCATTTTGACACACACAAAATATCTGAAAAATTGATAGAAAATTTTTAATCAACATTAACTTCATATTGCATTAAATTTTATAATTTGTGATTTCTATAATAAAAATATATTTGTCAAAATAAAATAGAGTTTTAAATTCTGTTGATAATCTATTTTGGTTAGAAAGAGATCAAAAACCATAGCACTAAATTATCCACAATTAAAATTAAAATCCACAATATCATGCATGATTGTACATGATATTATGAATGATATTAGCATTGCCATAAGAAATTTTCTACATGCACATTTTTAAAATTTCATAATGTTTTATTTTCACATAAAATGGAATTTGATTATTAACAATGATGGTAAAGTAATTAGTTGTAAATGTTAATCATTATTCATTCACTACAATGATAAACATGCAGAATAAAAAAATTCAATACCAAAGGTTCCAGAATTTCTGTTTTGCACAGAACATAAATTGTTACTATGCTTTTATTATATCAGTAAATACATCAAAGATCAAAGATCAATGATCAGTTTATTACATAATGAGATATTTAGAACTTATTGCTGTGCTTCGTCAGCATTAAATATAGTTTAATTGTGATAAAACATTAGCAATCTGATTTTTAATACAATGAATCTATGAATTCTAATGAAAAATGTGAAGTAGTTGTTTCAGTTTTACTAAGTATTATAAGTTATAAAAACATAATGTCATATTTTATATATGTATAAATTTAATATCTAAAACTATATCTAAATTTAAAACTATTAATACAGTAAACTATTCATGCTATATTTGAATATGAAGAATCTTAATTTGGTACAGTCAATCTTTGGTTTTTGAACGCCTTGATTTTTGAACAATTTGGTCCACAAATAGAATTTCAAACCCACAATTGCATATACGATGACTTGGTTGTTGAACATTCTATTCTGCAAGAGCCGACCATAGTTTAAAGAGAGAGAGAGAGATATGGTCGACTCCTCATACTTCCTATGTTAAAGAAAGTTGATGACCTTGATGACCCAACCAATCGGCAACAGAACTACCAATTCAGAAGTTAGTGGCATCAAAACAGCCTGCATCATTAAATGTCACAACACAAATCATTGACGATTTGGTTGCAATATTTAAATGAGCATGCAGAAAAGACACTACTACCATTTTTTGGTATGTGTTGCAATTATTTAAATCAAATTAATAAAAATTGCATTAATTGACATTTACATAATATAAATGGCATCCACGAATTTATCTTTAAAAGTCTTAAGTCAGATTAAATAAAAATTTATTATATAGGATTGGCAACTAAGTGATTGTGGATTTTAAATAAGAAGGAAAATTCAAAATTTTTGCTTAAAAATATAACTTTATTCAATTAGGTATTGTGCATTTTTGTCAATGACCTCTTGCCATCTTTCAGGCAGTGTCATAATTCCATGTTCATAAAACTTCTGATTTTTGCCAGCAAAAAACTGAATTAAATGTGTTTTTACATCATCAGCGTCATTAAAAATTTTACCATTTAAGGAGTTCTGCATGGAGTGAAATAAATGGTAATTTGAAGGTGCAAGGTCAGGGCTATATGGTGGATGTGACAACACATCCCAACTTAGCTTCAATAATTTTTGGCGAGTGACCAAAGATGTGTGGGGCTTTGCATTATCATGCTGGAAAACAACATCCTTACAATTTGACAATTCTGGCTGCTTTTCTTGAACTGCATCACTTAATTTGGCGAGTTGTTGAACGTACACATTTGAATTAATCGTTTGGTTTCTTGGTAAAAGTTCAAAGTACAGAATTCCTTTATAATCCCACCAAACTGACAGCATAATCTTTTTTTGGTGAATCTCAGCTTTTGGTGTCATTTGGGCTGGTTCATCTCGCATCACCCACGATCTTTTCCGATTAACTTTGCTATAAACTATCCACTTTTCGTCAGCAGTAATCAGTCATTTCAGAAATGGATCAATCTCTTTGCATTTCAGAAGTGAATCACAGATGCTAATGCGTTGCATCAAATGAATTTCCTTAAAATGAGGGACCCATAAATCCAGTTTCTTGACATAGCCAAGCTGTTTTAATTTTTTTTTAATGCATGTATGTGATACATTGAGCTTCTGTGCAATCTCACGCGTTGTGCTATGACGATCTGAATTGATAATGGCTTTGATATGGGGTCTCATCAACTTCAACTGGACGGCCAGATCATTGAGTATTTTTCAGTGAAAAATCACCAGAACGAAATTTGGCAAACCAATTTTGACACTGCCTTTCTTTCGAGGCTTCATTCCCTTATACGGCACATAACTTCCTGTGTGCTTGTGATGCAATCTTGCCTTTTCAGAAATAATACAATAAAATATGTCTGAAATGCACGTCTTGTTCTTCCATTTTTAAATTGGGATAAAAACAAAACTAAATAACTAATCGATACAATTTTTTTACTAAATTAAAGGTGGAAGTCCAAACAACAAGAAAACAATACAGGTTAAATGCTTTGAACACGATGACAAAGCAAAAAAATGTGTTAAGGCCACCTATTGACAAAATCCGCAATCACTTAGTTGCCAACCCTATAAAACATTACAATGCTTCTTAGAGAGAGAATTTCTTGCCATTTAGACATTGCCTTCACATTAAAAAGAAAAACTTCAATGAATTTTGAATCTAGATATTGACAATATACAGGTGATTCAAAAGTCACAGACATTTTAAAAATTAATAACTCACAAACTATTTACAGTAAGATGATGTGGTTTTCACAGAAATGTTTAGAAAGAAGTGGGATTTTTTTATATGTAATAAAAATTTTAGTAGCAAAATAGTTACATTTCTTGCCATAGATGAGGGAAATTGAAAGCATTCTAAAAATACAAATAAAAAATAAAAACGTTCTTACTGTAAGCTATTAGTAACAACTACAGAAATTATGTAATCTTATGAAACATCATCTATGGCAAGAAATGTAACTATTTTGGTACTAAAATTTTTATTACACATAAAAATTCCGCTTCTTTCTACACATTTTCATGAAAACTACATCATCTTACTGTAAATAGTTTGTGAGTTATTAATTTTTTAAAATTTCTGACTTGAATCACCCTGTATTTATTAAGTTAAATTCCAAGAAAGGCTTTTATAGCATTTATATTTCATTTAAACTAATTAGATTCACTTCAAAATGCAGAATTTTTTAATATTAAACTTGAATTTCACAGTATAGTAATTAAAACAGAAATGATTATGCAAACCAGTTTTTCAAAATTTTTATAAACTATATATACATTAAATAAAATTTTTAATAATTTTATATTAGATTTTATCTGACAAATATACAAAAATATTTGTCAGATAAAATCTAATTGTTGAATTAGTATATACCGAACAATCACTACATTAGGAACACCTGCCTAATAACAGGTTGGTCCACCTTTCTGAGTGATTGTGGCTTGTAAATGTCATGCATGGACTACCAAACACCAAACATCTTCTATTCTTAACTAGACCCAAACCTGTTGAGCAGTTTTGTCAGTTAGTGCACATTTGCAAAGGAGTTGATGCCTATTTCACCACACTTTCCAGCATATCCTAAAACTTGTTCAATAGGATTGCAGTCTGGTGAGTTTGGAAACCATTGTCATATTCCTTCAACTATTCCTGAGTGAGCCTTGCCTGATGGCACAGTGCATTATCACCTTGAACCATGACATTGTTGTAAGGAAACGTACAGGGACCTGTTAGGTGATCATCTGTACCTGTATCTCCAGGCCTGGAGATCATCTAACAGGTCCCTGTATCATTCACTATTCATGGATTGTGGGATAAAAGCCCTAGGCCTTTCTAACAGAATGCTCCCCAGACCATGACACTGCTACCACCAGCACAGTTCAGTATGAAACAGGATTTGTCACTCAAGACAACCTTTTTCCATAGGTCCGAGGTCCAATGATGCCTTTTCCTTGCCCATGTGAGATGTTTGCAATGGCATATGGTCAAAAGAGGCACATACAGGTCAACAGCTATTAAACCCCAGCTGAAGTAAGATATGCTACACGGTCATTGTCAAAATATGCCTTGTCCACTGTTGTACTAGCAGGTAAGGCATTCCACTGTGGCACATCTTTGTTCAGATACCAATCTTGACACACAATGCTTCTGGGATCAATCGCATGTGGCTGGTCACACACGACCTTCTGGTGGATGTTTGTGAGTGATTCATCCACTTGTGATACATCCTGGACACCATGATACGAGAACAATCAATGACTGCAGCTATTTCAGAAATATTGGCACGCTCCCTCCAGACCCCAATGATCTATCCATGCTCAAAGTCACTCAAGTCATCTGTCTGCCCATGACTGGCAACTATTGCCTTCTACTATGCAAATTACAAGTCAACAGGTCATAACTACAGTGAATTACAGGACATTGTTACATATTTATGTTTGTATCTCAGTATATCAATGTATGTAGAATTTAAATAAATATGTGAAGTTAGATAATATATTAGATTCCCTTTTATAACCTGAACCAGCAAAATTCCTGCTTACCACATACTGGTGAGCCTCCACAACATATCTTTACCACTTCGAAGATGGTGCTGGCATGGTGTTTCTAATGCAGTGATCATTCAGTATACATTTCATCACATTTATTAATGTAAAGCTTGACAGTTATTTTATTGTGATCTCAAAGATCATAGAAACCAATAGATATATTTAAAAAATTATATTTTTATACTTCATTTCTCCAAAATCCTATCCACCTGAGTATATGCACAGGTCCAGGAATTGCTTGCTTTAATTTAATTTGTACAATTTTCTCTTCGTCCACAAAAATTTCCCAAAAAGAAATTGTGTTGTCCATAGCGCTGACTACAATTTTATTATTAAATATTCTGAAATAAAAAAATATTCTCTCTTTAAAATAATGTTATAAATTTATCATAAATAATGCATTCTGTAAATTACAAAATTATTTATATGAAGTTATCTTATATAATCTTAACTAGGGTTTCTCAAACGAGATCCTGGCTGGTTTTTTACCCCGGGAAATCCTGCAAATTTTTTAAAAGTTCACTTTTTTCTTATTTTGTGTTAAGGTTGAAGAAATTTTACAAATAGAAAGTATAATTAACTCATAAACTGTCAGAATGCATTTCTATTTATTAATTTAAGCCTGCTTATTAGTTTTTTTTTGTTTATATGTCTCAAAAATAAATAATTGTTGAACTGCAGGTTTTGTAGTAATCCTCAATTGATACGTTCTGAAGTGATTCCAACAGAGGTTTTAAAAATATATCTATATATATATATTTTTTTTTTTACAGAAATTTTGCAAAAAACAATACCTTACTACCTGCAGTGAATTCTCCGGAAGAGTGAGCTCTGTATTCTCGCGATTATTACGAGCACAATTACAATTGAATAAAGTAACAATGTAGAATGTTTAACCTTTACCATAATACTACACATTCTATCTTTTTCTCCTGGTTTCAATGACCGGCCCAATCCCAATTAATTTCAAATAAGTTATTGTAGCTTTTTTGACAACGCGATTTTCTCGCTCGGTGTTATCGCTGTGCTGTCTCGCGATCATAACACGATAAGAAATTTAATACTTTTGATTCTGATGAAACCGTGTTGTAGTTTACTTTGCTTTTTTACAGACACACTACGGTGACATTATTCAATACTTGGCAGATTATTCATTACTTTATTCAGTTGGGACGCTATTTACAAATTTAATACTTTCAATTTTGCAACAATTAAAATCTATGTTTATTACGTAGCAATACCATTTAGTAATTGTGACCCAAACATTTATTTGGCAATTTTATCAATATTTTTTAAATTATTAAAAATAAAATTATAGACTTCATTACTGTCAATACTAGTTGTTAAATTTAAAAGAAAACATTCCCCCCAGTGCAAAAACAATTTGTTAGTCATTTAACTCACTACTGACAGATAAGAGAGTTTTTGAAAACAAAATAATAAAACGATTAGCACTTTGTTGTCGTTCAAAGTGGGGGACTGGTAGAGTCTATTACTTTCGCAGGAGAAAATAAACAAAGCTTTACTACCCTGAAGTTGAAAGATAATACAATCCTGTAAAATTTAACAAATCTGATGTGAATAAGTGAAAGTAGAAATGATTTATAAATTGTGCATATGTCACACTTCCTTTATATTGTGAATTTGTGAGCTGCGAGTTAACTCAAGGATTTTCCTGTAATCGCCTATTATCCACATTTATACTATGTTATAATTTATCATTTATTTTGTTCATAACCAATCCCTTTAATCAAGAATGTCAGAATCATTTGGAAATATTTCGTTAAGGATTTGAAACAAGAATTTGCAACCTGTAATGAATGTAAAACACAGATAAAGTGTAAAGGTTTTTCAACAAGCGGCCTTATCAGACATCTGCGTAACAAGCATAATATTGACAAATTATCTGTCACTAGTACTAAGCACACAGCCAAGGAAATTGGAGCAACTAGTAGTAAGCAATTAGCCTCTCAACAAACCTTACCATCGCTTTTTATTAAGGAAGAAACATGTGAAGAAAGAGTAACAAAACTTGCGACTTTAGATGGCATTAAACCACCAACTCTATTACAAAAATTGAGTTCATCAGAAAATCATTGACAGACAGAGGATACACTTTACCAAAAAATCCATCACATGTAATAGATCTCATCCATTCACATCACAAACAAATCAAACAACGATTATGTTCTGAAATTGATAGCCAAATAAATGCAGGATCAAGGTTTAGTTTATCCTTGGATGAATATATTTCACTAAACAATTGCTGGTATTTAAATATAAACATACATAAAAGTGACGGAACATTTTGGAACTTAGGAATGGTGAAGATTTCCAATGTTCTACCTGCAGAAACTACTGTCCAAGTAATCAAAGAAAAGTTAAAAGAATTTCACATATCTTTAGAAAAACACGTGGTGGCTTGTGTTACTGATGGTGCAGCTGTAATGGTGAAATTTGGAAGATTAATTGAATGTGAGCATCAGTTATGTTATGCACACGGAATTCATTTAGCGGTATGTGATGTTTTGTACAAAAAGTCAACCATTTCAGTAGCAGTCCCTCTTTCTGAAGAAATTCAAACTGAAGATGAAGAGCACAGTGACGATATAAAGAAAGATGAAGAAGACTTCAGTTATAGTATTGATTTTGAAAGTGTTTTGTGTGAGCATTTGGCTGAAGGTTCTTTCGATATAGATATTTCATTTGAATTGAAATTGTCTGTTCTCAAATCATTAGTAAGGTTAGAAAAATAGCAAAATTTTTTCGCAAATCACCTTTAAAGAATAACATCTTACAAAAATACATTGAACAGGAACATGGAAAAAATTTGCACTTATTTCTGGATTCCAAAACCCGATGGAATAGCCTTTTAGCCATATTAGAGCAATTTATTAAAATAAGATCATCCATATTGAAAGCAATCATTGACTGTAATAAAGATACGGACAATTTTGATCTTGACAAACAAGAAGTTGCTGTAATTCGTGTAATTCGTGACATCGTGGCATTGCTGCAGCCATTAAAAGCTGGAGCAGAAAAGCTTGGCAACAGAGGATCGACTTTACTTTCATCGGAAGGTATTTTTTCTTTTATTGTAAATGAGTTAAATCAACTAAACACACCTTTTTCAAGAAGACTAAAAGAGTCGTTTATTCGACGCATAGCAGAGAGAAGAAATGTAAAACTGACTGGCCTCATACAATATCTCAATAGTGGAAAGAATTATGGAAAAGTTTCAACTTTTCCGAGTGAAAAAAGTTTGCCAGCCTTACCAACCAAGACTATGTTAATTTTATCAGCAAAACAGATGTTAGATTGTCTTTTTGGAGTATCTATTGATTCTACCTCCAGTGGTACAGATCAAGTACCAGATGTTGCAAGCTCATCTGCAGTAACTTTAGCTGAAATGCTACTATCAAAGAAGCTGAGGTAGACGGATCAAGAAAAGTAGACAGCAAAAGCAGTACTGAAACACATCTCGAGAATGAAATAGAAATCTTTGAGGCTACAGGTGAAAAAACACACAACATTTGTCTTCTGTTAAATGCGTTAAAAACGATTCCACCCACATTGATTGAATCAGAAAGGACATTCTCGGCAGCAGGACTTTTTATTACCAAATTAAGAACCAGATTGAGTGATCGGAGTATCGACCATCTTTGTTTCTTAAAATCTCATTATAAAAATTTACAGTAATATTTGTATTATGTTTTATTTAAATAAAAAATATCATTTTCTAAGTTAGAAGTTTGATCAAAGTTCAGTTTTTTTCTTTAAATTTTTAACTCAATTCGTAGGCAATTTTTGTTATAAGCAGTTTCGAACAAACTTTAACAAATTTTTTTCTATTTGTGAATTTTCTACATAATTCAAAGATATTTTTAATACATATTTTACACATCATTATTAATATGATTTTGGAGGTTGCAAAACACTTAAATTACTTTAAAAAATGAAAAATAATGATATCATTTGATTTCAAGATATTTTTTAAAAATAATTAATTATATCCTAGGATCCTGGGAAACAGTTCACTTTTATCCCAGAATCCCAAGACAAGCAAAAGACAGAGAAATAAGAAACCCTAATCTTAACCCTACATCATAAAGCATAAATCATTAGTACAAGAACACAAAGCTTTGTAAATTTTATGACTGTTCATTAATTATTTTATGAATTAGTTTCATGTCAGAATACTAACTGACAGTAATATAATGGATATATGATGAAATATACTTGTTTTGATACAATTTCAGACACTTATTATTATAAAATTTATTTGCACGATGTTTGTTGCTTTATATGTGGTTGCACTGGCTACAATATGTAGTATCAAAATAGTTCATTATTTTCAAATGGTAGACATGACAAATTGTTATTTCCTTTTCAAATGTTGGATTCTCTCTGGGATTTACAAGATTTTTCTGTAAAGTATTCTCTATGAAGAGGTGCAATTGTGTCTGAAGGTATGTGATTCTAGCAACTTCTTCATCCATGGTTTGGTTAGAAATTGTATTTTATATTCCATTTACTACTTAATTAATTTGATTTTAATTGAATTACAATTATACTTTTTGAATAATTTAATTTTGAAATGTGAAATGTGTGTATGTCCTGATGGAAAAATGTGAAAGACCCTGTAATAAAAAGTATTTAGATATATCAAATGCAATCATTTCAATCTAAGTTGAATTAATTAAAATTAATTAAAATGATTGCAATCAAATGCAATCATTTTAATTAATAAAATATATGAAGATTTGAAAAACAAAAACTGATAATCACTTACTTTATATTTTCCAAGCACTCACTATGATACTTTATTGTTAATTTATTATTAACTTCAGAATTTTCACCAAGTAAAGGAGACAACAGAATCTGATGATCTGATGAAATTGATATCACATGATGATGGAAACATTTAATTTGTTCAATTTCAAAAACATCTATTACGAAATAAAAATATTTAAGTTATTTTAAAGTATGCATAGTATTATATTTAAATTTATGAAATACGAGGATTAATTTTTAAGTAAGTACCATTTTAAAATAGGGCAGCTGCAGTGCTGCGGTTGGTGTTCCGCGAATGTGCACTGAGTACCTACATCTGTTGGCTAACCACAGACACCATTACGGAAACATTCATTTGTTTTACTTTTGTTTGTGTGTGTTTAAAATGCCTCACACAATTGAAAATTCCGCCAATTGTGAAGTACGCGTGGTGATTCATTTTCTTGATGCAATAGATGTGAAAGTGGCTGACATTCATCGGAAAATTAGTGAGGTGTATGGACAAAACGTTATGCACAATGAAATGGTAAGAAAATGGCTTAGAGCATTTAAAGATGGCCATACTAATGTCCATGACGAGGAGCATAGTGGACAACCATCTGTCATTACTGAAGACTTGGTGCAGAAAGTTGATACAAAAGTTCAAGATAACAGATGCTTTATAATTTAGTCATCCAAAATAAAAGGCATGGCAAGCTCAGTAAGGGGATTATTTTGTTTCATGACAATGCCCATCCGCATGTGGCCCAACAAACCCAAGACCTTATTACATCATATGACTGAAAACAACTTGATCACCCTCTGTACAGCCCTGATCTAGCACTTAGTGACTACCACTTGTTCCTCCACTTGAAAAAGCATCTAGGTGGTCAGTGCACATTGATGATGTCAAAATGGCTGTGCTGCAGTGGTTGGCAAATCAAGTGCCAGGTTTGTTCGAGGATAGAATTCAGAAGCTGGTTGTACGATATGATAAGTGCCTTAATATTGAAGGAAATTATGTGGAAAATAGATTAAGGTACAGGCTTTCATGTAAGAATAAAATTGTTAAAAAAATTGCTAAAAAATTGTTTTTTTTAATATCAAAACAGTACTTACATAAAAAACATGCCTCGTATAAAAGATGTTAAGACATCATCATCAATAATTTCATAAAATAATTTAAATTTGTTTTTTAAACAAGCAATTATATATTGTGAAATTGTCACAATGCCAAGCTGCAATTTTTAATCATATTCTTAATTTATTTAATTTAAAATATATGTTCTCCATCTCAAATTAGTAGTGTCTTGCTCCTGTACATCATATTTTCCCCAATAACAACAGTCTTGCTGATCATCTGTGTAGCTCCATTTGGGGGAAAATTTTAAAATTGATATCATGTTACTTCTGGTCTAGACTGAAAGCTCATATATAATTAATTGGGGCCTCCTGCCCCTAAGTATTCCATATCTGGTCTTGACTTTCATCAGTCTAACACCATTCTCAAGATAAAGGAAGGACATGCAACACACAGATACCAGACGGACAACAATGGGAATTTATAGGTCTATAATTTTTTCAAATTGCAGCCCAGGAGGTATTTGTGGTATTCAAATTTATTTTTGCAACATCATATTCAAAATCTCAAATACTTGAATACAGTAATACCCCGAACTTACACGATAGGTGGGACCGAGCGGTAACCGCGTAAGTTGGGGCATAATTTCGCATATAAATACATACAAATAATTTTTAATTGGGGCTGGAGACTAAAGAAAACAATAATTTAGAAAAAAATGTTTAATAAATCTTAGATAATACATATGTATAACAAATTATTTTACAATTTTTCACATTTACTTGATTATTACGCCATAATTTTAACATTGTTTTCATCTCAGCGATAATACTGTGACGTTTACGAATGATGCTTGAATTTAAAGACTGAACATTTTTCACAGCTTCGAGAATTGTTTCTTTGCCTTTTATAATTGTTCTGACCGACAATTCCGGTAGATCAAACTTCTTTGCCAATTCACAAATTTTCATTTTTGTATCAAAGTCTTTAATAATGGGTACGTTTGTAAAGTCAAATGAATTAAATGCGTTAGTAACGAATCGTTCTAAAAGTCTAATGAAATAGGAATAACGATGACTTCATTCCCGCTAACTCGTTCGACTTTACGAACATACCCAATGTTAACTTTACATTCCAAAGATAAAGTTTTTCTTTTCTTATTTGATGTGGAAGAATTAGTTCTACTTCGTTTGGATGACATAGTAGAGTCTCTCGAGTCTCCGTAGATATAACAAACACAGAAATAAATAACACAAAATAAATTGTAGCTATGTGTGGATTCCGTGCGACACATCCGAACATGTAAGCTGAACAATAGTGTGGGGGGAGTGAGTAATCAAGGGTTGCATGGCGCTCAAACTAAAGATGAATCGACGAGATTTGAAAATCGCGTAACTCCGGTTTCGCGTAAGTTGGGGTATTACTGTACTTTCTAGTATTCAAGTATTTGTGGGTGGTATATGTCCATCCCTAAAACTTACAAATGCCTAAACACAAATAATAATATAAAATTGGTTATTTCTATTTGCACATTTACAGAATATATTTCAAAAGTAACATTAAAATTTTAAAGCTTTAAATATTATATAGCCAACATCGTTTCATAGCATACTAAATTATAAAATACTGAATATAATACAAAGTATTGAATGAACAATAATTTTAAATAAATAAAAAACAAGTACTTTTTAAGTTAATAAATAAATAGTTAGTATTTTATAATTTATATATACAAAATTACTTAATAAATATTATACTTAGTATCAGATTTAATATATTCAATTTTGTAATTTCATTTCAAATCAATAATTTATAAATCCACTTTTATTATCTGGAAAATGCTTAGAAAGTCTTTCATCACTATCAATTCCTAATCTATAAAAAACAATTTATAACAAAGAAAAATTTTTAATATTGGATAATTCTTTATTCTTCATTTAATTTGTTCCAAATTAGGAATTAAATTATAGGATGATCAAAGTTACTTGCAAGAATTAGATTTAGTAACACTGGTAGAGAGATTCAAATATTAGCCTCAACTTCATAATAAATATATGATCAAGATTTTTAAGTGTTTCTTTTGACATATTTCATAGCAATAACAAGTACAGCTTGTTCATGACATTTTTAAATTTAATCCTCACAAGTAAACTTTTTGTTTGCTCATCCAATGTAATGAAAGAAGAAATTCCTGTATATATTTCTCAGTTAAAAAAAACCAATAATGTATAGTTATAAACTTTACAATTGAAAAATAATCAAAATAGCATTAAAATAAAATTAAACTTTACCTGTATCTAACAAGTTAATCAATACCATATCTGTAACAATTCCTAAATGTTGACCAACAACATCTAATAATGTACCAGTATAGCAATTCCAAACACAAATACTTCCATTTCTATGACCAGTTATAATCAAATCACCTGAAATATAATTTTTATTATTAAAATACATAATATAATTTCAGATGCAATTTATTTGAGAAATAAAATATTTTTAAAAATCACAGAGAAATTACTTTTATTATAACCAAACCAACTGGATTCAGAAATAATAACAGTACCAACTTCATCATTCCAGCAGCTTAAATTTAATTTTTAATATTGCACTGAAGAGGGACTTAACATTTATATAAGTCCAAAATGCATATGTGGAAACAATAAAAAAAAATGTCTAACCTGAAAGCTGTAATGATAGTTTACCGAACTTAATTTCGGATTAAAGAGACATACATACATAGAGTTTAAATTTATTTGTATTTATTATTTGTATTAATAAATTTATATAAATTTATTTGAACACGTTTTTGATCAAGTTTAAAGATCTTTTAGGTTGCTCCTAATAAAACACCACAATATATTAAAGAACAAAAAAGAAATAAAAATTTTTAAAATTATAGAATATTTCAATTTAAAACGTGTAGCTGATATTGAAATTATTTTTTAATAACCAAATATTTCTATTTGTAAAACATGTAAACATTTGTAAAAGATAGCTTTGAAGCAAGCAATTATTTTTTATTGAAAATAAAGCAAGAAAGTAAGAATTTTCTTATATTTTCTCTAGAATAAATTCTGAAGTCACATTGTATTTGCATGCGATACATTCAAAAAGTTTTCATTTGTAATTTAATACTTTGAAGAGAGTTGATGTTTTAAAGTTTAAAAAATTGACAGCTTAAGAGAGTAAAAAATTAATATCAGTAAATACCATATTTTTGTATTGTACTTAGTTTTAAAAGGATATTTATAATTTTTACAAACATTTAATATTAAAAGTTTTAATTCATTAAATTAAAATTCAAGTTAAAGCAGAATAAATAAATAAATAAATAATTTTATAATAATCATTCTTTCTACATTGCTTGGTTTCATAGCAAATAAAAGTTTTATTCTATAGTAACCTTTATAAGAAATTACTACTAATTTATTATTCATGGCAATATGTCATTTTTCACTGGGTGCAGATAAAGATGATCAAGAAATAAACAGGAGATTCCCTTCATAAACACAAGGGATGCTGCAGCAAGTGTGGGTGACTGCCTTCAAAAAACAGGGATTCAGAGGCAGTAGCTCAAAAAAAATTTTTTTAATTTAGATATTTGGTTAACCATTTTTTAAAGGAAGAATTACTGGATAAAATGAATGAAGTACAATATTTTCAGGACGAAGCAACATTCTTTATATCTTTCATACCATTACAACACTTCTGTTGTTGATATTTTGTGTATAAGTATAGAATAGAGAATCACACCTAAATGTAAAATTTCCAGCAAAGAAATGCTTCAATGTTTGAACGTTTTGGCCACCATTTTATTGGACCTCTTATAAGTGTATTTTATAATTCATAAATTCACTTAAAAACTTTCAAGATTAATATTTAAATAATTATAAATAGTCATTTATTAGTCAGTTTAAATAATTAATATAAATTTTTGTTTTAAAATTCAAAATGATCAAATTTATTGTTGAAAAAACATTTAATTAAAATAAGAATAAAATTTTAATTTCTTACATTTTAAAAATAAGAACTACCCACTAGAACAGGTTGCAATTTACAGCACGTGGAGTAATTTTTAATTAATTAATGGCCGACATCAGGTTATGGGTTCATGATATAGTTACTAGATATTGTAATATGGTTTGGGAGCTGCTATTGTTATCTCCCTTTGTTTTTGTTCTAGGGACAACCATTTTTGAGGGTAGTGTTCCGATCATCTGGTAGGCTAAATTGGCAAGAGTTGCATTAGCACGGGTGTATTTTTAAAGTTGTTTTTGTAGTGTTTTTAATTATTTCTGCTTTATTTTTTCAGATTTTGTAATATACAATTGTCGATTCGGCTTTAGATACTCTGTTTTTAAAGTAGATGAGGCAGAAATCATAAGTTTTTAGTAAGAGGCATGTGAATTTGGAACAGGTGAATTTCTAGCAAGTTGGATGTGAAAATGTCAGGCACAGAGTTGCTATAACAGCAAATTTTGTACATTTTTACATCACTCACAGACTGCACTTTTTTGCAAGGTGGAGAAAGATGTTTGCTTCAAAACACAAGACTAAATCATCAAGAAAGTTGTCCCATTTATATTAAATTCATAACTATGATAAAATTTGGATAATTTTATGTAAATATTGCTAATAAACTGGATATCAAAGTAAATACTACATTTATTTATTTAACTTTCATTTTTCTAACACTAGAAAAGTTTTATTTAAAAAAATCATTTCTAACTTTTGCTTTCTTATCCATTTCTATCAGCAAATCATTTTAATCTTTACAATTTTCTGCCTTTTGATTTCTATGCCATCACTGTAGTTTTTGATAATGGAAACTATGACTCATTTATGGAATTTTGGCATTATAGAATAAGCCAGTCAGACAATTAACTTTTTCAAGTCTTTTTAACAAAGTGCTAAAATAATATATACCTGTAGAAGTTGCATAGGACGTTTTTATTATTGTATACATTCAAGTTAATTCGTCAAATATTAAAATGTCTTTAAAAGAAACTCAAAATTAAAAACAGACTTGTAAATTTTTTAAAATACTGCATAATCAGTTACAATATAACTCAAAGCTTTCATCAACTATTTTATACAAAAATTTTATTCTTATAAATTAATTATATTAATTATTAATGAATCAATGATATTTTGTAAGAATTTATATATTTTTTATTATTATATTTATTATTCATATTTTTAATAAATTTATTGAGAAAATATATTTTGCAGAAGCTTCTAAATTTTTATTTAGAAAATCATTAACCAATATTTTTAATAGTAAAAAAAAAAAAATTATTCTTGGGGAAGGATAAAACACATGCATTTTTAAAGTAACAGAGACTTTAAAACAATAAATAATTTTTATGCTTTTAAATAATTTTTTACTTAAAATATAAAAATTAATGGTGCAACATTAGGTGGTATTAAACAAGTTTTTGTCATTTATTAAGGAAGATGGCCCTGCAATTTTGAAAAAGAGGCTCAACAGTTCATATTTCTCAATTTAATTAAATTCAGAAATATGAACTGTTGAGCCTCTTTTTTCTTCTTCTATGAACTGGTCTTAATTTATATTTAGAAGTAGATTTATGTATTAGTTTTATATATGATTTCTATTCCTTTTTTTTAAATTTCAATATGTAACTGGTTCAAACACCATTAGTTCCTAGGACTTATCACATCTACAGACTCCAAAAATAGTGCGACGGATGGTTGGGTCCCTCTCTCGAAACGCACGAGACAAGTGGCCACAGTACTTGGATAATCATTTTGCGAGATATCTGTATTTATTTACTTATTTTGGTGTAGTGTTTATCTAATAGAAAAATTGTTAAATCCAATGCATCAAGCACCACTCACTAATCTAAACGGAGAAATCCTAGTAGTTAAAGAAAAATTCTAACGATGATGCTTTTAGAATAGTATATTACCTGGATTAATTTTTATGTAAAAATCGATAATCAAAAAGAATTTTATTAGAAATCGATTAACAAATTTTCTTATTAATATCAGTAATGTGGACGTTCCAAATTACTGTAATTTTGTTATACAAAGTTTGTCTAAAAAACAAAGTTGCGGGACGAGCGTCGTTTCGCGCTTCCAACGAAACTGGCAACCGACTGCAGAACGTCCAATTCTGCTCCCTCCGTAAATCGAGCCTTTTTTCCGGCCGCATTTGGCTGAGACGTCGTCTTCTCTAGAGGGTATTCCCCGTCGGCAACTTTCCGGAAGCGTCGATCGTGCCGACGTCGATCATCTTCCGGAATCAACGTCATCCGATATCAGTTTATTTTTAAAAGGCTAGCGCCACACGAACGTTACTCGTGTATTTTACCGGCCATTTATTTTTTTGCCATCGACCAAAATATTTTAATCGTCGTCCGTTTCTTAATTTAGATTGCTTAAGAAATTTTAAAAAATCGTACTTAATTTACAGAATTACGGCCGAGTTTGTCTATAACAGAATCCGCACGTAAGAAAAACCTGTCGTTAACGGAAGATTTCTTCGGTCCCTGGAATTTTCTGCATAAATCGAAGTAAATTATAACTTAATGTAAGGATTATTATATATATTACAATAAATACTTAACCGGAAATTTTCACGCAATTTATCGGATTTGCTTCGAAAGCCGGGAAGTGTTTCTTCCAATGAGTCCAGCATTTCACTTTTGATCCACAAAACCACTTTTGATAAATACTTTTCCAATTAATTCTAAATTGTCGATCTTCGGTAGACGTGGACGGAATCGACTTATTTCCCAGAAGTTCCTCGATGACGTCAATGGCTATTTCTCTCAGGCAAATCGTTTTCCATACATTTCCAACGTTTTCCAAATTACCAACAACGTCCTTCCAACTACGACACACTCGCCCAGCTCTAGCTAACGAGCGTGCGTCCAGCTTCCAAAATATTATTTCTATTATTTCTATCGGTAGTTCATTTATTTTCATTTTAAAATCCACAAAATAAACTGTTTAATTCGGAAAAAAAATAGTCCATGCGGCAAAAACCACGTAATTTGTACGCATACGACTTCGTCGAAATTCGAAATCCGCTAAAATAGAAACGACTTTATTTAAAGCTGACAATTTTATATCCAAGTTTCTTGTTTTATCGAGTTGTCATAATCAAACGTGACTCGAAACCTCGTGGGTAGAACGGTGTGCTTTTTCCGGGCGCCATATTATAAATGCACCACCTAGTGACAATAATCATATCATCTAAAAATTTTTCCTAATTTCCTGTCTATAATCCGTGGCTTAGATGCTAAAAAAAAGTTGGCATCGCGTACGATACGCGACAATTTTTCCACCTCGAAAAATGCTCTAACGACATTTAAATTTTTGTTTCCCCGACAAGTCTTCTTGGCATGATAAAACCAGACGGTATGTCTTGCTATTTACGTATCGGACAGACATGTTTAAAAATTTGTGCAACTATTCTGGCGCGATATTAATGTGTTCGGTACTTTTTTGGCTACGTCCTGGATATACTCGAATACAGTAGAGCGTCGATTTTCCGAATCAATTGGGGACTGGGGTTGTCCGGATAACTGATATTTCGGATAACTGATTTACGTACGAAAAAATAGTTTAACGTATCCGATGTCGAAATTTTTCTCCGTTGCGTGTCGCTTCGCGTTGAATTTTCGTCGATGTTAAGCCTAACAAAGACTATTGTATCGTTAGAAATTATTTTTTTATTTTGTACAAACAAAATAAATNGTCCGTGACGTTGCCGGTTACTGGGGTTTGACCTGACGTCAGATAAATCGGTGACGTCACACGGTCGTCGAACTGACGAACAATTACTTTCTGTGAAAAAAAAGGAAAATGGATAATGACCGTTTGATCGTTAGAGGGCGAAAATCAAAGCGTGACTCTATATAACCCCCCCCCCAATTTGAGACCGATATAGAACGAAACCTACAATTATATAAAGGGGTGGTAATTCGAAGCGTTTTAAACAATTCGAACAATGCAATATATATATATGTGTTATATATATATATATATATTATATATATATGGACGTGTTTGCGCCTATATTTCACTCTGCAGCCAAAACTACACATCTCACATGAATGGTGTTTGTGTGTGGTAGTAGCCCCAAGTTTCCCATCGTGCACTATGGTGGTTGCGTCTCGATATGGGGTTTGAAAGTGGTTGACTTCGAAAATGTGTGACGCTTCAATGAGAACGTTCCACTTTTTTCTAGAAAGTTCCAGAACCTACAGGTGAAATTTGGTACACAGTTAGGGTACGTCATGAAAACGCACACTAAGAAGGGATTTTACGAAATTCACCCGCGGGGTGGAGAGGGAGAGCATTAAGGCTTAACCGGAAGAACGGTTTCTACTGTACTATTTTAGATGCGATTTTTTGGTTTTAATTACGTTTAGTCTTCATTGAGTACTTAGGGGTATTAAACAGATAACATTTCAGACATTTTAATAAATATTTTTTATATATTTCGATTTTCTAACCAAATGTTCGAACCCTTTTAAATCGAATTTCTTTCTGCTTATTGGTTCGATTGTAGAACGATTGTAAACGTTCCAGAAAAATTATCAAATTAAAAACAGTTTGTTTGATTCTCAGCAATTCTCATTATTCTCAGTGGTAGGTGTTAAATAACAATTACTATGGATATTGAAATATTGAATGTAAATAGGGTTTGCTTGCAAAACCCGCAGGAGCGAAGCTGCGGGTAATAGCTAGTATTAAATAACATTATATTATAAACCGGCAAAGTTCCTTTTTATAAAATGTATATCGACAAAAAACATTAACGATATAAGGGATGACAACGAGGAGACAGAAAGTTTGTTATTAAAAATGACTGATGTGTTAGAAACGAGACATTGGTAGGGTTGAGTGGTGTTGAATCACTTTGACGCTCACGGCGGGTCTCGTTCTCATTCTCCAATCTTCTTTGGTATCGCTGGTTTTGAGCGCGATCTTTCAAACTTTGCCGGCCACGGCCACGAGGTCGTCCACGATGCATTTTCGGTGAAATTAACCTATCCAATTTCGAAATTTCTCTCCGTTGCGTGTCGTTCCGGGTTGAATTTTTGTCGATGCCTAACGAAAATTTTCCGTTTTTGAAAAAAATAATCCTGGCTATATTAATTTTTATTTTGCACAAACAATATACAGTTTAACCCGATTATAACGTCATCGAATGTAATGACAACCCTAATATAACGTCAAATTTTTATCGGTCCCCTAGCAACATTTGGTGGCATCATCTGTTATGATATTTTATTAA